TTTTGTCTTTCAGTCTCTTCGGGCAGAGATCAGAGATGGCTTCTTAGCTTCTGTATGAAAGTAAGAATTTCCAGTACAGAATTTCATGGAATCATAGAATGGTTTGCATTGGAAGGGACCTTTAAAGGTCATCTGGTCCAACCCCCTTGCAGTGAGCAGGGACATCTTCAACCAGATCAGGCTGCTCAGAGCCCCATCCAACCTGGCCTGGAATGTTTCCAGGGATGGGGTATGGACCAGCTCTCTGGGCAACCCGTTGCAGTGTTTTACCACCATAATTGTAAATATTTTCTTCCTTATATGTAGTCTAAATCTACCCTCCCTTAGTTTAAAACCATTACCCCTTGTCCTAGCACAACAGGCTCTGCTAAAAAGCCTGTCCCCATCTTTCTTATTACAAGCTTATTTCTTTCTTTATTTTACACTATGTGTGTTGTGTGTTCTAATGTGCAGTTATGGAAACTGCTTTCTGACTAATTTTTTTGTCACTGTGTGTATTTTTTGTCATTAATACAGGAACTGTTTCTGTTTAAGCAGTATCTGTATTTATATATCTTCAATGTAGAGAACAGCGTGACTTGCCTTTTGCCCATTTTCATGCTTTAAATACTTTCTTAGGAAGCAAAACATAAATACACAATAGCCTGGTATGCAAAGGGAAGTATACTAGCAAAGTGGAAGGAAAGACATTCAGAAACACGCCTTCCTTTAGCAGAAAGCCATTCTTCCCAGTATTGTGCTAGTCAGCCTTCCTATGAACAAAGCCACTTCCATAGCATCTGTAAATCCTGCATGTAAATCGTAACTTCTCAGAATATTATTCAGAAGGCTTTTTAAACCTCATCTGTCATATCATGACAGTTAATGTCCACTGTGATCATGTGGGAAGCCTGTGGTAGAGCGAGGAGTGTGTGAACCAGACCACTCGATTCCCAGTCTTCCTCCTGTCCCCTGTTGCATTGAATTTGCTTTCTGTGTTTGCCAGGACACCATTCCTGGTTATGAACATCACCATCTCAGCAGGTAGCAGCTGTATCATTACATTCAACACGCTCAGTACCTATTTTTCTTTCAGGTCACTAAAATGCAGTACTTAAAAAGCAGTGGCTTGCTTGAACTATATGGATCTTAAAATTTTTCCCGTAGTCTGTTATTACATGCCAAGTCATCCTCAGCTCCTGAATGTGCAGCCTTCCCACATCTTCCTGCAGTCCTCGAGATGGAGTCTGTGTTTTGCTGAAGTATTACTTAATTCATCATCCAGAAAGGGTGAATCCTCAGCCTCTGCTTTCCTGTTTTGGTCTAGCATGTATACCATGAGGCCCTAGGATGTATGGAGTCTACATTCCTTTTATTTTCTTCTCTCCTCATTACGGATACTGAAGTGCGCAAATCCCTTGGAAGCCATTTAAATGGTAGCCCTACATGGCCGTCTGCGTAGAGGAAGAAGTTACACATGATGCATAGATTGCTGTCAGTTCTGCAAGTGTTGTAAATGGTAGCCCTACATGGCCGTCTGCGTGGAGGAAGAAGTAACACGTGATGCATAGTTCTGCAAGTGTTAAAAACCTTTCTTTTCCTGCATTTAGTCAGTTAAATTTGCGTTAATTGAATTCCTGTCTTACTCTAGTCCTTCCATCAGCCGGGTCAAGAACTTCGCGTTCTCTGTGATGAAGTTAGCTTATATTGAATTTGAGAAGCAACTTCTAAATGGCCCTGATAATAGATTGCAGAGACGGTGAGGACAAGCAGTCAAATTCTTGATTAGCTGTTCTGCCACAAAAGAATAGCAATGAGTCAGAACTAGGGACATCTTCCCAGGCAAGAATTTAGTGTTATTCCAAGGAGCTCTTTTTAAAGCCGTTTTCCCTGGTAGTAACAAGTAAAGCAACTTTTAAGCAGACAGAATACCCCTCTTAAAATGAAATATGATGCTTGAGGGTGGTGGTAAAAGAAAGTACTCTTTCTGGTTCAAGTCACATGTAACAGATCATGGCTGTTAAAGCCCTTTGTTGGTAAAACGAATCGGTATTGACTGTCTGTTTTCTCTTGTCAGTCATTAGCTTGTCAGTTAATTGGAAAGCTTGTGAGGGACTTCTCCATGACGGCGTTTTGTGGTAGAAGAAAACAACCTGGGAATAAACTTAGTTAAAAGCTGTTTGTAGTTGGTAACTGTGGCATGTTTGTACACTGTTCTGATTGCTGCGTGTGAATTGTCTGACGGGCTAATCTCCAGAAGGGATAAGGGATTCCTGCGGTATCACTCTGAAGGCTAACGGGGATTCAAAACAGGATATATTGTGAAATTCATACCATAAATCATACAAATACACTTGTAAGAGTCTGCGTGAGTGCTGTAACTGTAACAAAAAGAATTCTTTAGATTCAAGTCTATGATCAGCATAGCTATCACTAGGCTTGAGCCAAAATGATGATTTACTAATGATATTCTTCATTGATATGTGTCAGATTAATATAAAAATTCTCTTAAAACTATAGTTCTGCTGCCATTGAAATGGCAGTGTGCCATTCCTTATTTATTTTTCAGTGACTGGATAGATGCTCATAAAAAAGAAATCTGGGCATAAGGAGGGTGGTTTTTCCCACTCAGCACTTGGACTGGAAAGTCGGCATGGGCTTGTGCATCATTGTTAGCAATACGGACTCTACAGCTGGGTCTTAGTTTGCAGTGTTGGTTTGGATGTATGGTTTAAAAAGAAATTAAAAATTGATCTCTCTTCCTGTTAGCTGTGTGAGCTCTGCAGAGGAGTGAAACGTTGTGTGAACCGAGGATGACTGGCTGCGAGGAAAGGCGCATGGAAGAGATTTACTGCAGAGGAGTGAAACGTTGTGTGAACCGGGGATGACTGGCTGAGAGGAAAGGCGCATGGAAGAGATTTGTTAAGCGGAGGTGCCATCTTTATGCTGTTGTTCTTCTGGCTATAACTGCACTTTACATTTTATTATGGCCTGGGTCTTTAGAGGTGAATTTCGTAAGGCAGTTTCCAGAACAACTGGGTCAGTCACCCATCATTCATTCAATTACACACCGCAGCCTTGCTGCTCCCCGTTGACATCTGTACACAAAGGCCAGCTCTTTTTTACATAACCTGGGCAGCTCAGATGCTGAAAGTCACTGGGAGCTCCAGAGCCTGAGAAAAGAAGTGGCTAAATAGTTCATTCCCTCTGGCATGCCCAGAGGCAGGCAGGAGGCTGGTAATTGCATCATTACACATGTAATATTTTGTGTTTTGCCCATCTATTGCTGTAGAAAAGGAAGAAATTGGAGACTGCTATGTGAGAAATGTTGTTAAACTGCTTTTATGTAGCTAGCCAGCTGTATTTCTGTTTGCCTTACACAGGCATGGACTTACATTGTCATGAGCTATTTCTGAGGGGACTGCCTCATCTGGAGCGGGAGGGATGCCTGCGTGCTGTGGTGGTAATGAGGTGACTGGCCTTGCTGGGCTGTAGGCTGGGAAGGTGTGTGCTCCATGAGGTGGGGCGTTAGGGAAAGCAATGCAAATAGCTGTCTCATTAACGCGATTAACTGATGCGCTGGATAGCTGGATTCTGCCTCTGCAGCTGGGCGAGGTGGTCCAGCCAGCCTTGCTGACGGTCGGTAACTGAGCGCAAGTCCTGTTTCGTGTTCTCCGGGGTTCAGACTTAACGTAAATGCCGGCTCTTGAAACAGGGCTCGGTAAGCGCCGCGCTTGGAAAATACCAAGGAGCAAGTTCTGAAAAGGAAAGTGAAAGGCATAGAGGTGGGCAACAGGGACTGCACGCGTGTCAAAACGGGCACTCAGTCTTAACGTGCTTTGTGAATAACAGCCACTTGTGCTTCTTCCACCTGTAAAATCAGTGCAATGCTGCCTTGCCTTGCGAGAGTGTCATTGAAATAAATCCAGTGATGTTTCTGAAACGTTTGGATACTTCAGTGCCGAGCGCTAAAGAAAAGCTTAGAAATAAATTAATAGTTCTTTATTTGGGAACAATGTCAGGAGTGGGTCGTAAAAGTAGTACAGTTTTTATAACGCGGCTGAAAGGAAGAATTGAAATTCTGCTGGTGGGGAGTGCTGACTGTCATGGGCACTGAGTTGAGGTGTCTGACGGAAAAGAAAATAGTGTGTGGTAAAGTAATTGAACACTCTACAAAAGCGTATGCCTGCTAAATAGGAGGGAGGGAGGGAAGTCTAAAAGTTGCAAAAAAAAAAAAAATCTCTGTACTAACTCCTAATATTTGATTTGACTTGGATATTTGAACTTATGTTAAAAATGTAACTTGTGAATTTATTTACAAGTACCAAAGGCACAGGTTTGTGTTATGTTCAGTAATATCAAAGTAGCAAACCTGCCTGTTGTTATACGTGGAAAAAACCCTTGAATTTGTTTGTATAAGCACGGACGATGCCTCAATTTCATCCCACTGTTGAATCAATTGATACAACTATTTTGTAGGATTTTATTGAAGGAAACAAACTGAGTAGTGATCTTTCATCCAAAATGACCGTGAGACCAAGGGACTGCAGTTGTCTTACAACCCAGTTTCCTACTCTTCCTAGCAGAGTTGGAAGCTGGGTTAGAAGAGGGTAGCTAACTGCAGACTCTTTGTGTCGGAAGCGCCTTGGTGTTGGTTGCCTGGCAAAGCACCACTCCTGGATGCTGCGGGGCACTTCTGAGATACTATGGTTACACCTGAATAGTCACAGTTGTGTTTCAAATGGTGAGTAAAATGTGTATGAACTCATCAATTAAGATCTGTAGAACTAGTGTATAAACTGTTTGGCAAACAAACAGGATGAAGTGGGTGGAAAAAGTGTTGGTTAGTCACTAGCAACACTGAAATCAAATACACAAATTTTGTCTTGGTATTGACACTTCTGTGTTAGCAGGAGTCGTCTTAAAGCCTATGCGCTCCCATATGAAAATGTGTCTTGTGTAGCAGATCGTGATGAGCATGGGAGGTCAACTTTATTTTATTTTGTTTTAATCTCTTCCAGCCTTCAGGAAAAAGAACAATCATTCAGCAAGTCCATTAAAGAAACTACTGCCAAAGTAAGTACACATCAGTTTTCAGTTCTTCAGAACATTTAGACAAGCAGATAATACCTTGCATCTTAATAAATTGTCTGTGTTTTAGAAAGTTGGTTTTGTGGTGTTTCTTCTAAACAGATTTTACGTGTGAGTATTATTAAACATGCATTCAAAAAAACCCCCCAACTTATGTTGGGTAAACCACAGAAATTATGCTTAAGAAAGCACATGGAGTAATCTGTTCCTGCTTGTCTTACGTTTACTAGTTATCGGTCTTCTCACTGGTCTTCATTTAGGACCAGGCTCCTTAGCTTCATGAAGTGAAAGTGAACTCTGGTCACAGCTGAAGGTTTTCACTGCTAATGCAGAGCCTGTTACTTTCCTATAGGTGACCGATTTCGTTGGTGTGAAGGAAGAGCACAAATGAAGTACCTCTTTTCTCCGCCCTTTCGCTAATAATAAACTAGCAAGCTAATTCTCATCCCCCTTTGAAAACACAAAAGTGAGGTGGCAGATTTAGCATACCTTTCATTTCTAACCAGAGATGTTAATACTTTTCCTTTAATTTTCTTGTTTCTTGTGGCCTGCTTCCAAGAAAGAGAATACTAAAGTTTTCTTTTTATTTCAGAATGGCTCAGTGAGCCACAGAGCATCTTTGCTCCAGGAGTGCTCTAGAAAAAAAGGTCTGTTTATAGTAGCTAATTCTTATAGGTCTATATGGAACAGGGAGTGGAAGGTATTGCTGGATTTTGATCAGTAATTAATTTAGACTCTTAAATAAGTTTAATTTTCATGTTCTTTCTCTAATATCACTCATGAGAATTAGTGAAAATTTTATCCTTTATGATCTGTTCTTCCAAGTCATCTTAACTCACACTTTCAGCATGCACCATTAATAAGACCGTTTAAAGACTGCATCTCAGTACCCCTCCCTCCTTCGCTCCTGCTTTATTTGAGCTCGTTCTCCTCTGTTCCTTTCTTCTGCACACATCCTGGGAAAAATTAGTATAGACCGCTGTAACATGATGCTCCCCCTTGTATTTTTTTAAATGACTACAAATGAAGTATCAAGGAGAGATTGTAATTGACCTACAGCTCACCTACCAAAACGAAGGAGACGTTCGGTACCTCAGAGTGATGTGTTGTTTCAAGCTATCTGCGAGCTGAAACACAAGTTACAGATTTTTGCCTGCTCCCCTGAGAAGGTGTGCTTCTTGAGTTTTATTTTATAACCGTAGTATCTAGACACTTTTTTCAATAGAAGCTGAAACATTGGGTAAGAATTGAGATGTGTGTGAGGTAGAACCCCACAGCCTGTTTGTTTCTTTAAAAATTCAATAGATAAAATATTTTAATTTCATTGCGTTCCTATGTGATGGCTTTTATTTATTAGAGAAGATAAATAGGAAGCATGTGATGAGACTCCTCCAAATCACTTATCGTTTATGTATTTATTCCAGTTAACTCATCCTATTACTTTCTTCTGAAACTGAGTAGAGCTGGTCCTTTAAACCTTTTCATCGTAAGGGGAAAACACTGCTTTGTTGAAGGTCTTTTCTTTCCCCCTGTGCCACTAGTATTTGTATGGCCTTTTCTGCTTCATCTGTGTTGTTTTCAGCTGAGGCTGCAAAAGCTAAGATTAGCCCGTTAATAAAGGGAACAATGTCCCTTATCCACCACCTTCCTTCAGAAATTAATATCTGCCTTTGCTAATAGCAAGATTGTGCTGTATGGGACATCCAGGTGGGCTGTCCTTTTCTTCAGGCAGCGTAAAGAGAATTTCTCTGTCTCTTCCAAGTTACTGTTGTAAAGAAATATGAAGGTTACCCAAAACTTATTTTTTCTTGAGGTGGTTGGAGGAAGGGTAGATTTCAGTGCGTCCGTCAGTGTCCTTGTCCCTGTTTCTGCTGCTTTAGATTAACATCATACGCTGGCGAGATGGAAGAGGATGACAGTGGGCAAATTTGCTTTTGATATTTTGCTGCTTTTCATCTTGATTCCACATATCTTTGCTGCCAGCATCCTACTGGTTTCAGATAGACTGCTTTAAGTAGTATTTGTGTGTCTGAACATAGATTTGTAAGGTATGTTCCTAAGAAAGAGCCTTTTTGTTGAAAGTCTGCTTTAAAAAAATCCTCACAAACCACTAAAGAGGATTTTAAAATAGATTCAGTAATATTTGGCTGTAAAGAACTTCCCTGAAACCGAAAGGGAAGTTTTTTAGACTTAGAGGTTGTTGATCCATGGGCTGTAGCAGAGCTGGTCGCTGAGGACCGCGACGGGGCATTGCTGGGGCCAGAGGCGTGTGCCATCAGGCGGGTTAGGGGAGAATACTGGCTTTGGGAATGTTCATCATCTTTGTTAGCTAAGAAATAACCTTTCCTCAGTGGCTGAGTAAGCTACTGTAATGAATAATGATGGCTGTTATTATGATAAAATAGTTAGGAAAAATGAAAAGAAGTGGAGCTTGCAGAGTAGAACGGATGTAACGCAGAAGCAGTGCTATTAGCTTAGAGGATGTACGTTATTTTGCCTCTCCCAGTCGCTCACTTAGTTTTGTTGAGCTATGCCATATCATAGCTCTGAAGATTAATGTTGTTCATTTATCTGCAGAGTACACATGACGTACATACAAGCAGAGGCTTGGTAAGGTACTTATGTTCCAGAAGAATCGTCTCTGCAAGCTGGAGGAACTTCCTTTCCGCCTGTGGTCCCCGCATTTGGTCCCTTAATAAAGAGTGCCAGCCAGCTTGGTTCTGGCGGTAGCGCTTACAAAGTGGACAGTGTTCACTGGAAACTGATTAAACCTCCCAGCTTATTTTGCATAATTGCCAAACAGCTGTCTACTGGTAATGACTTTAAGTTACTGCCAGCATGGGATATATTCACGCATCTTCCTGGAGCTGAAAGATTCCCCATCTAATTGCAATTCACTGAGCCATTCAGTACCCCTAAAGAGAGAGTGCTGCTTAGAAAGAAGTCATTAAAAACTTTCTGATTTATTTTGGAGATGTGAGACAGAAATGGCCTTTGGGTTCTTTGGGCGCATTTATTCACCTCTGACAGGTCTGGGTTTTTGAAAACATTTTAAGTGAATTAGTAGGCAAGTCACTTAGAAGGGGGTACTGAAACAAAGTGAAATAACTGGGAATTGAAAAATTATAATAGGTGCAGAAGGGATGAGATATGTGTTTTAAATTAATAGGAAGACTCTGAAGTCTTTCGATAGTAACATTTACTGCTTGGAGGATAGTTCTATTGACTCAAGAAAAAAATATAACCCCTTTATGGTTAACAGATGCTCCCAGCTAAAGCAAGAGGGTATTATCCATTTAAAAGGATTTACAGTTACTGTCATATCTGAATTATTATACTTTAATTGTGCAAACAGATAAGCCATTAGAGCTGTAAGGCTTTTGCTCTTAAAAAGTGAAGCGGTAGCTGTGCTTCTGTTAATAAACATGGTGTATACACTTGTTTTTAAGGGGAATAAAAAGTCAAGGAGGGCAGGGAAACTTTCCTCTGGAGATTTCATTTCACATCTCATCTCTTCACAACTGGCCTGTGCCTCTCTTGATTATTGCTTTCCCCTTGGTTCCGATGACTGCAATGTTTTCTTGAGTGTCAGCTACAATTTTAAGGATGTGTTTGATGTCTGCCTTCAGAACGAGAGGTTGGCCTTAGCTTGATGAGGGATTTTCTGTTTGTTCATTTTGCTTTCCTTCACCAATGATGCAATATGGAGCAGGAACGACCATTTTTGAGTACGTGGGAGTTGTATGAATTCATAGAATTGCGTATGCTGTATAAGGTCTTTCTGAGGTGGTAGTGTGTAAAATACAGAAACAGTTGTACTGCCTTTCTTTTATCTCCCATCTCTCTCCACGTTTTTAATGCCAGTCCTGATTAAATGCTGAAGGAACTTCCAGTTAAAAAGATAAAAAATAGAGAGGAAAAGTCAAAAAATGGAACCCCAGTCACCTGTGTCTCCTGACTGTGAGACAAAGTACAGTACTGAGCTGGTGTAGCCTTCCTTATGGCCCGAGCAGAGAATTAATGGTGGCTGCTTTGCCTTTTTTGAGAGAAGATGTGCGGCACAGTATATTTTGTATAAAAATTGCTGTACATCCTGTGTTATGACATCTTAAATTCCAACGCTGGCTTATTTATGCTCCACTCCAGGCATTGCTGTCAATGCTGGATTGCGCAGCATTCGTAAGATGGCCTTTCTTCTATGTGCAGCCTCGGTATCGAGTAGTGAAACATGTTCTTTCTCATGCAGGTACCCAACGCTGATACCATTCCCCATTTTTATAATAGAAACAGGCAAAAGGCAAAGCCTGGAAATTTTGATTCATGTTGGGTGTTTTTGTAAAGACGTCACTTGTTATTAAGCTTCTTTACCTTGCTGTAGGATGTTATGTCGTGTCTGTAAACCAAGAACATTTGAAGTCCCATTTAAATTGCCTTGTACTTTTACATGAATGAATTGTATATCATGGCTGTCTGCCTCAATCTAGGTTTGTACGAGTCAGAAACTCTGCAGTACTTTGAGGAGGAAAGTGAGTGATATTGAGACTCAACTACCAGCCCTACTTGAAGCCAAAATGCTGGCTGTTTCAGGTAAGTTTTAAGTGATGAGAAGGACTAACGTGGATGACTGTTGTGTTAGAGCAGTTGTTGACATTTTCATAGCTGAGACTTCTTAGGAAAAGTCATGGACGTGCGCTTCATAGAATCATAGAACGGTTTGGGTTGGAAGGGACCTTTGGAGGCCATCCAGCCCAACCCCCCTGCAGTGAGCAGGGACATCTTCAACTAGACAGGGTTGCTCAGAGCCCCGTCCAACCTGGCCTTGAACATTTCCGGCAATGGGGCATCAACCACCTCTCTGGGCAACCTGTTCCAGTGCTTCACCACCCTCAGCGTAAAAAATTTCTTTCTTGTCTTCCGCTTGTCTAGATGCTTTGAAGCAATGTCAAGTCCAGCAGCACCGGGCTGTGCCGTGCATTGTGTAAGGTACTGCAGGCCCCTCTCCATGGCTGGAAGTTACTGGCAAAGTGGGTGCTGTGTGGTAGGCAGGAAACATGTGAAGAAGGTGATATTTTCCATAGGCAAAATCGATAAATAATTATCAATAGCTGTTCCTGGGCCTTAGAAGTTATATGCCTAGATCTCTCCAGCTAAGAGCATAAATTTACAACAAAGGTATAATAATTACAAATGTGGCTTTAAATGACACTTTAAAATGGAGTACAATAATTGGCAACTTCTACTGTTCAGATCATTAAACAACCAATGTTGGCAGCAGAAGTGCAATTTGGTCCTTGGAGCACTCATGCGTGTTATTTACAACCAGTAAAACATTGAAATGTGATTACAGAGTCTGGTACGTAACAGCTTTACATGCAGCTTACTTGGGATTACCGCACTGTTCACTAAGGAAAAAAGGCAAAGCACAGTTCTGTATCATAATTTGGAAGGGGTGGCTTTTCACAGAATCAGACTGGTAGGGGTTGGGAGGGACCTCTGTGGGTCATCTAGTCCAGGCCCCTACTGAAGCAGGGTCACCCAGAGCAGGCTGCACAGGACCTTGTCCAGGCGGGTCTTGAATATCTCCAGAGAAGGAGAATCCACAACCCCTCTGGGCAACCTGTTCCAGAGTTCCGTCACCCTCAGAGGGAAGAAGTTCTTCCTCATGTTCAGCTGGAACTTCCTCTGCTTCAGTTTGTGCCCGTTGCCCCTTGTCCTGTCACTGGGCACCACTGAAAAGAGTCTGGCCCCATCCTCCTGACACCCACCCTGAAGATATTTATAGGCATTTCTAAGGTCCCCTCTTAGCCGTATCCAGGGTAAACAAGCCCACCTCCCTCAGCCTCTCCTCATAGGAGAGATGCTCCAGTCCCCTCAGCATCCTCGTAGCCCTCCGCTGGACTCTCTCCAGTAGCTCCTCATCTTTCTTGAAGTGGGGAGCCCAGAACTGGACACAGTGCTCCAGATGGGGCCTCACTAGGGCGGTGTAGAGGGGAAGGAAACCTCCCTTGACCTGTTGGCCACACTCTTCTTAATTCAGCCACACTTTTCTAATTCAGCAAATCATTTGCAGGCATGTGAGTAGGTGTCTCTGCTAGACACCTGCCTCAGAGAGGAGGCTGAATAGGAGGACATGCAGACTTGGGTACGGGGAATTTCCCTGTGTTACACCAAGTAAAGAAAGGCTAGAGGATTTTTAACACACGTCAAGGCAACATGTTGTAGTTGTCTGCTGGTGATTTACCTTGTCAGTTAGGTACAAGAATCTAGTACCAGCGCACACAAATTATTGTAAAATGAAACCTTGTGCAGTGTCATGTGGTTTGTTTGTCAGAAGTGGATATCGTCAGGCTTGAGCAAAATCCAACAGGAAATTAGGGACCAGATCTTGTCTTGGTGCTGATCATGCTTGATTTCCTTGCTTCTAGTAACACTTTGTTGAAATGGGAACCCTCTCTGTTTCTCTGTGTCTACCTGCGAGAGGTAAGCTGAGCAATCGCCCTTCTCTGCCCGTGGGCTGTTTGAACATAGGTGATTTTCTTGCTTTTGGAAAGGGGGTCAAATTTTTCCCAGCCATTTTGTGACTTTGAGAACAAAATAGCCCGTAAAATGGATGCGCAACTGCTTCGTGCTGCCAGCAGGTATCAGTTGGCCAGAGATGTACCTCAGTCGGACATTTGAGTAAATCACAACTTGAGAATGATTTCCAAAACTTTATAACATTATTTTATTCTTGTTAGCTCTTACAAGAGGTTGCTTGTTTCAGGAATGAATTCAAAATAATGCTGGTGTTTCTATAAACTGTTTTTGCAGTACTGCAACTATGATTGCCTTTCTATATGCTTTAGGAAGCATTGATGCTATTTCTTAGTACTGATAAGAAGCGCTGTTTCTTGTTGCGTTCTTACTCTGAATAACTCTTACTTCAGGGAATTTTAATGAGTGTGGATGGTACAATCCTAAGTTGTTACTAAGGCAAAATTCTGGAGGGAACTGGTTGAAAATCAAGGACGAAAGGTAATTTAGTGACAGTGGATACTGTAATTTCTTTACCTCATTGTAAGATATGGATACATTTAGTTGCTGTGATGGCACTTGCTTATGTTAAATGCAGAGTAGTTTTCAGAGGATACGGGGGAAATATAGGAATAAAAAGCCCACCCTTGAAGACCTGAAAGTAAAAAACATTTCAGAAAAAAAAAGGAAACATTTTAGTCTTAGAGCATGATGTGATAAAATCAGAAAAGCCAGGATGCAGAGTGAATTGCAGCAAGTCAGGAAGAAAAGATTTGGTAAATGCAGAAGAGGAAAGAGGAAGAAAGAAAAAAAAATAGGTGGTGGTTTTTTTTTTTCTTTTTGCTTAACAAGGGGTGAAAACAGTGAGCAGTGAATAATATAGAAAAGGCTGAATTGTTCAGTTTCTGTGTATTCCTGTGTTAGGCATAAATGAATGACACTTCTTAAATAAGACATAGTTAAGAAGCAGGTCATAACCTTTTAAATACGGGTTAAGATTTAAGCAAGATACTGTGTGTATGTATCCCCTGAACCGTCAGGCAGCTGACAGAATGTTAATGAACAGCCTGGATATATTTAAATCGTTAGAAGGCAAAAGACTCTTCAGTTGGGTAACGTGCAATTATTTAAGGACAGCCTTGGAATAGCATGAAATTTAGAGTGAATTATACTGTGTATATAAATATGTAGTAATAATGAAGTTTGGTCATAGTTAGAGGTTTTCATTTAGTCTGGAAGCGTCGGGCAGGGATGAATGTCTGTGTTTTCTGCTCTTTTGCTGTAGCAGTTAGACCATTCATTCAAACAGCGTCCTAAAACAAATGTACTAACGGATACCGAGAACAACTGGTTTTCTCTAAGCAGATGTTGCATTGTTTTTGTTTAATGTAGCACTTTCCTTGAGGAAGCAGTCGGAGTTTAGTGATTTTGGAACAGTGTGAAAGCAAAAAGGTAACTGAATGCAGCTGCGCACATCTGGATTCATGTATCCCAAAAGTAAAGTTAGATGAGCTTAAGAATGTAGTTATTGATACATTAGTTTTCAGAGCTAATGTGTGATGACTTAATGATGTAGTGACTTGAAAAGCATGATATATACCTCAGCCTTTAATGGCTACCCTGAAAGCTTCAGGCAACATTCATCTTCTGTGTGAACTTATACTTTCTATTCCAAAAACATTGATTTACAGTATTGGTGTATTCTCACCAGAAAATACAAGAATATAGCTGATCTTGTTTTGAGAGAAAAATACCAAAATAAATGCAATGTGAGCATAACAATTCTATTAGGCCTGTCAATAGAATACCTTTGGTTTTAAGACTATAATAAATGATACTGTAAAGACATAAGAGATGATGCTACAGATATAAATGTCTCTCCTCCCTTTTATTTTGTCCTGGAAGAAGTATGAAATTAAATTTGTAGGAGAATGAAGGAAGGTTTGTGAATATTTGGATTATTGAAGGCCATAGAATAAATAGAGTAATTAAATCCCAGTGAGGTTTCATATGGAAAAATAAAGAAGCCCGAACTGAAATGCTCAAGAGGTATTTTTGTCGGCAGCTACAGTTCAGATCCTTTATATCAAGAACTCCCTTACTTCTGATTTGCATTTTCCTGTTGTGATAAATAACTTGCAGCTAATACTCCGGAGATGCTAGTCCAGAATTTTTCTCCAAACATAATTATTGAATTTTACTATATTGTTCACTGTTTTAAGTCAGTAGCTTTAGCTAATTACAGCTGACAAGTACTCCTGATTGCATGAGATGCTGCTGTTGACATACACATTTGTAAATACTTATCGATGAAATCTTATGGTTTTTAGCATTTAGTAGATTTTTTTTTTAAAAAAAAAAAAACAAAACATCTTAATGTCGGTGCTTGGAAGCCTACATATGATTATTATAACAGTTGCTTCTTACGATAGCTCTTAACATACTTAAAACAGTTTTGTCATGAGTTATGGGAAGAATATGGCAGTACACGATACTCTGTTCTTGCTGTTAGCATCGTGTGTCTATGCAGCATGAAATTTTTTGGGGGAATAAATTGCAGATGAAATAATCCTAAACCAGTAAGAAAATTAAAATAGGATGATGTGTAAGCAAGTGTGAATGTAACTGTGGAAGTATTATTAAAATCTGTTTTCCTACTTTAGGCTGTTTTGCAGGAGAAAAAATCATACATGAGAAATGGTGTGGTTTCCATTTTTCCTTAGAAAATAATCTGGGAAGAGGAGGGAGGATGTGAACTAAAATTAATTTTCAGTCATAGTTTCGTCCAGTTCCTAAATTTGAATAAAAGAGCTTGTTTGATACATTTTACAGTGTCTTCGTATACTCTGTGAATTCTTTTCCTCTTGAGAATGCGTAATAGCGTGGGACTAGATAGCCAAAACGTGGCTGGCAGGGAGCTAAGCAGACATGAATGAAAAACTGAATTCACTAGGTAGTTATCTGAAATACAAGTCATTAACTTTCCTTACGTCTTCGCAAAGATGAATTAGATCTAAACACAGAAGTTACAATGAGGTGATTTGTCAGTAGCTAAAAAAAAAAAGTATTACTTCTGAT